CACTTTCCTGACCCCCCGCCTCAACCCGTAATATTACGTTATTCGCTTATAATAATAATATGACATTTATATCGCGCAAATCCGTGTTACAATCACTCTTCTATGCGCTTTACTTTTAAATTATTATAGTATTCATGAAAAACGTGCATACACACATGTGACATAATAATTAAATATGGTACAAGCGGAACTTTTGCAGAAAAACTTGCAGTGTCATTTTACCACTTAAATCTAGATATCTACCAGTGTATAGCGAGATGGCATATTATATATCGTGCTTGCCCTCGAGGTCCACTGTATTGCCACAACGCAGAGCTTACCGCTCGAACTTACCCAAAGTGAAAAGTGTAGTTACTCTCTTTTTATGTTTGTTTTTTTTTTAATTACGTTGTCATAAATTATATTTTATTTTTTCACCTTACAAAAAAGTAATCTTACTTTGGTTCAAAACCCTCTTTCTTACACTACTTTTTACAGGAGTCAAGGACTCCCACCCCCCTTTTTTTTCCCAGGCATAAGATGATATTATTTTCTGGATGAATCGATCCATGTCTAGATCTAGCCTCCTAGCGTAAGATTTAAAAGCTCTCACAAATTTTTATACTAGATCTGTCTACCTTGCGCTACGGAACCAAACAAGCTAAGTAATCTGACGACTGTGTTTGCGATTTATTTACTCTAGATCTAGATCTAGTTAGACTAGAAGATGATTCAGTCCAATCAAGACTATTGGGTCGGTTTGCTCACCAGATTGATGGTGCAAAGCGGCTATCGTGGCACGAATCGATCGCACCCGACTCGTTTCAAAACAAACACGTTGTTTTCAGGCGACGAGTCGAGCGATCATCCCGACCCGACCTGACCCGGGCCGGGTCACTGGGCGGCGGCGGCCAACCCGTAGTGCAAAGGAGCGAATTGTCCCCCTTCGCGTCGTTATTTTAGTCGTGGAAGAAAATTTTGGTGTTTTTAATGAAATTTGTTGGTAAAACAGACTTGTACAGCTGAGTGTTGTCCGCGTGGTAGTTAACATTGTGCTTCCTAAATATTGAACCTAAAGGTTTGTATAGTGCGTATATGAGTGGTCCGAGCACAGATCCTTCAGGTACGCCAAATTGCAAGTTGAAAATGGATGACATTTCACCATTTACAAGTGCAGACTCAGTACGATTAGTCAAATAAGACTCAAATCATTCAAGAACAGTCCCAGATAGGCCGAAACTATGGCCTAACCTCCTGATCAAAATTGAATGATCGATGGTATCAAATGCAGCACTTAGACACCTAGTAAGGCAAAAACAGACACTTTGCCTTAGTCAGCTTCACAAAGGAGGTCCTTCTGGACTTTTAAAAGTGCAGTCTCTGTGTTATGAAACTCTCTGTAGGCTGACTGATAACATTCTAAAAGATTATTTTCTTCAAGATGTTTGATGTTTCTGAACAACAAAGGATTATAACTATAAATAGGTAGTCTAAATTCACTTTATTTGACAAGAAAGACAAAAATCATTCACGAATTGAAAATCCAGTTAAAAATTAAGAAGAGAAAAGTTAAAACCCTTTCAAAAGGAACAGAAGTCAGTAATTCAAAGAAACACGCATTGGAGTTTGAGTTCAAATAGCCACGGTATGCTCTGAATAGAAACTTCGAGTTCTAATATCATGTTCGGAATTTAACATTTTTTTCACTTGATTAATCATTCTAAAAACGAAGTGACTATTTCTCAGAACGTTCTGGAAAATAAAGTTGAACTCTATCCGAACGGTTTCCGGTCTTTCAGATTGGTTATTTTGCGAGATTTAGGCGCCATCCTTTCATTCAGCCATTCAGCGAGGACTGGGAAGAAGCATTTTTTGTATCGAATTCAATTTCTAGAACTAGAGATTTTTAAACGTCTGAATATTCAGATACTTCAGTTGTGGTTGGGGCAATGTTCGCGGACTATATTTCATTTCAAAATACCTTCAAAAGGTACTGCGAGAAAACGAGACGGCTCGACCTAGGCAGTAACCTATTTTGCATTTAGTCACCCAGCAAAAACTAAAATCTTTCATGTAAAAAAAAATCCCTCCTCACGACCCCCCCCCTCCCCATTCACACCTTACACACACACAGACACACACACACAGGCCACTCTATTCGCTTGTTATCAACAAATCTCGAGAACAGCATCCAGAGAAATAAAGCCTTTTAAAAATGTGAGTGACAAGTTCATTTGTACCCTATAGTTCTAATATTAGATTTAGATCTATATTGTGAACTGAAAACCCAGAAAATAGGCCCTATATAAGACAAAAGATCAACATAGGATGCATCATCTTCGATGAGAATCAAACGCTTGGTACAAGTTCTGATTTATGATGAATATATCCGTGTCAAATTCACGAAGTAGATCTACTTCACATGATAATTGTTTAGGCCTAAATCTACACGCTCATTAGAATCTAATGAATTATGAATAGTCACAAGTGACAAATGTCTAAATGTAGCCTTATCAAACATTCATTTATTGAATTCAACGACCATGTACTAAAAGATATAAAAATAAAAGTAACAGACGTAGGCCGAACTTAATAATATAATTAAAATAATAACAATCCTTTCTTTTACTTTTAGTTAAAGTTAGGCCTCCTTTAAGTCATGACCCTAACAAAAATATATAATGAGCAGGGAACTTTTACATTTTCTATCAAGCATAAAAAGAGTCCTTTTCGAAAAAAAAAAACAAGCGTTCATCAGCAAGATTCAAGATATAGAGTCTAGATTCTACTACTACAAGACTCTAGAATCTATTTCTAGTAGGCTATAAAGTCAATTTAAGATCTTGAGTACAGTAGCCTAGAGGTAGATATCTAGAAACTTGTCACAGATCTAGAGATCATGTAGGCTATAGATATAGATCTAGATCTAGAGTCTAGATCTAAATCTAGATCTAGATTCTATATCTAGATCTAGATCTAGATCTAGATCTAAAGTAGACTAAAGTCTAGATCTAGACTAGATCTAGATTTAGGTCATTATCATGAGAACCTTCAACAACTTCTGACAAAAACAATGTCAATATTCACAAATAACAAAAATACATTAAATTTTGAACTGTATTATCCAATAGTAAGAACAGGGGAGACCATTTGACCTAAAACAGAAAGCTCAACACATCCAAACATTAATTTTTTGGCATTTTCCCTCTCTACCGATGGTGGGTGGAGGGGGGAATTTGTAGCACGGCAACGCGTCGCTCGTGGTAATGCGGTGTGTCAAAGCATCAAAAGCACTTAATTAACATAGACCTAAGTATAGAATATAATAAAGTACAAGAAATGCAGCTGCAAAAACCAACAGCTCTTTTTATACTTTTTCTTGTCTCAGCGTTGTGCATACACCTAACAGTGGAGCAGAAACGCATCCATGCATTCCACATATTAGGGTCGCGGCCCGCGATACCTTGTTGTGTGCAAACAGCTCATTCTACTCCAGCAGACGACTCCACTCATCACTTACGGAGCGCACAGTCGAGGGTTCGCACGAACACACTCGATTAAGTCGGTCGAGATTTTTCAAACGTACACAAAATACATCTCATCTTAAATATATACGTCAAAACATAACATTTCACATATGAAAAAAGATGTACTTACTTCCCTAATTCCTCCTTTAATTCATAAATATCGCTAAATTTCACAGTGGACGTCTGGGCCGCCATATTGAATGTTAAATGACTTCACAACATCGCTCTCGGAATATCTCGCCGGCTCACCAGGCGCGAGATCTGTCGGCGAGTTATGCTGGTGGTCGATACTCCCGCTGGGAATCCCCCCCTCTCACGTTTCGCAGTTTGTGGAAGCGAAATAACGCTTGGACAATGCACCCCAACTCGCTAGCACGTAAAGTAAGAGAGGGGTGTGGAGGTTCACCAGCGCAGAATGCAATTTTACGTGATCTAAAATGCTTTGAGTTTAATGCAAATTTTAACTCACACTGATTGCAAACTGCATGCAAATTTTGATGCGGCATGAAACTGTAGATTCGTGCACTCGAGTTCGAGTTTGGATAACTGCTGTAAATCGAATTATTTAAATTCTGAAAAGCCCACATTGTACTAATTTGGAGCAGGGTTGAAAAGCAAATCGATGCAATGCTGACTAAAGTGCAGTAATGATACTTGATAGTGCTTCATTTTCTTCTTCCTCTTTCTATTCTTTTTTT